ATTTAAATTAAAGACTCTCTGTTGCACTTCCCACTCCCACTAAACTTCAGGTCCGGCCCATTACTAACCGAGCCCCCTGCAGAGAAAAAATCTGAATGGTTATTTCCCTAGAAAAGCTTGTCCAAGGCCCCAGTGACTCTGATGAGGAGTTTCTATCTGTCTGCCCACCTCACGCCGATGTACACATTTGCACACACTTTCTCAAGGGAGAAACAGTAACTAAAAACTATGTGGTCGATGGGCGTCCTCTGCCCTGTCCCTACACCTAGACCCAAGGACGGGGCCCCAGGAAACTGCCAGGAGGAACGTCGCAGACCTTTCTCTAACCGGCCCTCGCTGGGCGGTGCTGGTATCTGTGGCTGCGAGTGGTTCTGGCGTTTGGCGTTGTGTGCGGAGCTTTCTCCCAGTGCTGAAACGGTCCCCTGCCAGCATGGCCTCGCATTTGATTTAAGTCAAGAGCAAAAACCTCCAGAAAGCCAAATAAAAAGCAAGACACACCAGCTTCTAAAGAACTTCCGTGTTTATTTGACATCGTTTTACCATACACATCTCATGCCGGCACACAGGAAGCATATTATACAAACGCACCGGCTTCTCTGTTCCAAAGTCACGTGGCAATAAATAAGGGTGGGTGGGTCTTTTTTATTCCCCTTTTCCTTTTTTTCCCCCTAGCAAATGAGACGTCATTTCTTTTCACTGTACAAAATTTACACTGGGAAGGGTGAGGGCAAGAATCCAGAGCTTAGGGGGCCTGGGGCTCTGAGGTCGGAGTGCAAGGTCAGGGCAGCGCGTGGGGGGGACCCCACCGCCCTGAACCTGCCCGTCTGGCTGAACACAGTCCTCGAGTCAGGGAGCACAAATGACTCTCGTCTCTCGGGGGGCAGCAGATGAGGGTGGGCTGCCCTTCTCCGCCCACCTGAGCTCGCCCCCCCCAAGCAAAGGAACACTTGGCATTGGCAATGCCTCCAAACCTGCAGCTTCCCTCACCAGAGCTAGCAGCATGGAACTGTGCTTTCGGGGCCTACCACGCAGAGTGTGGGTGGGATGACTTTGCTGGGCTCTCTCTCTCTTTTTTTTTTTTTTTTTTTTGGCTCCTGTCACCGTGGGAGAGCAGTTGGAGCAACGACAGCAAGAAAAAGGGCCAACTGACCAATCCAAGAGACAGCCAGCCAGCGGTGTGCTTTTCAGTTCGTGTCCAGCGTGCCCAGAGCCCTCAGCAGCAGGCAATAAAACAAAACTCATTTCCGCCTAATTGAATTTGTCTTCATCTCACGGTTTCCAATTTTTAAAGTGCAATGTTTAAAAATGAGCCTCCTCGGTTCCTGCAGACCCTGCTGGCCGAGGAGGTACGGTCATGATTTCCATGGTTATAACCATGTTGTCAGTAGTGGCATGTGGGGGGTGCGGGGGGGGCGGGAGGGAGTGTGGGTGCCAGGGCACCACCACCCAGAACACAGCTCTCGCTCAGCAGAAGCCTCCCACCCCCTCCTGCAGGGGGCGCTGACTGCAAGAGAACTCGCCTGGGCCTCAGAGAGGGTCGTGTCTTTTGCTCTCCAATTACGTATGCTTCCTGCAAACTGAACATAAGGAGGAAGATCGAATGGCCTCCAATGCATTCTGAGAAGATTTCATATTTTATGTTGGCAAAAAAAATCCAACTTTTAGAAACCCCGCCAAATTCTTTTCTTACGTCTTAGTTGTGTGCTCTTTCCCTGGCATTTCACTGCAGTAGGTTGCAGGAATATGGTGTCCGAGTGGTGGCTGGTTTGCGCTCTACATTATATTCACAGTTATCAGATGGGGGGAGAAAGAGGAAGCGCAGACAGAAAGGGGTTTGCGTCCGGTTGCACCGCAAGTCCCTGGAAGGGCCAGACCAGTCTTCCCAACCTCGGGATTTTCCCAGTGGGCCGGCGCAGCCCCTGCACTGGGGACTTCTTCTGGGGTTTATTACTTTTTAGGGCATATAGATTCTCCCATAGCCCCACGGGTCCCATCTTTGCTCATACCAGCTACTGCTGGAAACTGGGGTGTGGTGTTTTTTTATTATTGATTTGCTCCTGGATTCAGAAACTCCCTACTCTAAGGTCCGTCAGCTGGGTGCCACAGACAAATGTTGCTGGTTAACTGCTCTCCTGGAGCCAAAGAGAGGCCCAGATGATGTAAATTGTTCTAGGAAGTCTCATTTCATTTTTTAAATGCACCCATGTCATTTTAGCAAGGGGACCACCGCTCCCAGGTAGCACCTTATAGCTCCGTCGGAGGCTGCTGGGCAGTAGCAGAGGGTCTGGAGAGGACCACACAGTAGCGTCCTGTGCTCTCTGTCCCCAAGCCGCAAAAGGGCCAAGGGACAGTCCCGGCACGCAGTGGCACCTGCTGGTCCATAATGCTAACCCCACTCGCAAGGACAGCTGCATAAAACCTGAGGCCTGTCACGGCTGTGCTTCTGCATGGGGCACTGGTGTCTGCCACTGCCTGGGGAAGTGGCTCTGGGGACCTCATCTGCCCCGGCTTGGTGGCCAGTGCTCTGAGAGTTCCTGCAGCCAGCTAACCCCGCCGAAACCAAGGCAGCTCCCACCACAGCCAGCTGCGCTGCTCACAGAGTCCCCGGCGACCGCGTTCTGGGACTGATATGGAGGCGGAAGGCCTCCCACTCCCCCAGCCATGGACTAGGGCGTGAGCAGGAGTAACTCCTATACTAAACAAAAACTGGTCAGCTGGTCTTAAAACACAAGGCTGTCCCTGGGGAGGAGGAACATGCTACTTCAGAGAGTTCACGCTCCCTGTACTTTGCTCACCCCACATAAGGCAGGGCCTCTGAGCCCCCAGGAGCCCCTACACCAGGTGGTCGAGCCACAACAGTGGTCTGGGGCGGACAGTCCTGACTGGCCAGTGCCCGGCTCAGTCTTTCCCCTGCGCACTGCGAGCAGCCTGCTAAGAACAGCGCATTCGAGACTCTGTCCTCCAAAAAGATGGCAGCAGGTGCCTTTCCTTCACGGGGCTCACGGTCTTTGCCACCCCCCACTGTTCAGTTACTGGGAACCGTCTGGGCTCCACCCTCCCTCATCCCTACTTCCGGAGCCTCAGAAAAAAACCAAGCACCTACATTTGCAGGCTCCCCGAGCCATAACCACAATTGCAGCATGTCCAAAAATGAGGGTCCGCTACAAAACTGAGCAGAGAAAAGGTGGTCTGAAGGCTGGTCCCAGGAATTTACGGACTACATATCATAAAGAAGACTAACTGACCGTGGTTTCGTCCTGGGAAGGCGTCTACAGAAAATGCAGCGGCCAAAGAGGAAGTACTTATTTCCTCCTTGAGCCTCCCTGGCACACACTTCAATCCTTGTGGTCCTCAAAAGGTGACAAATAACAAAAGAAAGGGTCCTTAGCATCTTGGGCCCCATCACTTAATGTGAAAGAGAGACAATGCCTTCTTACCTTTCCCTACTCTGCGGGTCTTGGCTAAGAACACAGGAGGCCGGGAGGAGCAAACCAATTCCTGGCAAATGCCCAGTGTGCCCGTGGACAGCCCCTGCCGGACCAAGGGGTGGTGCATAAGTGGGGGTCGCAGCACCGTTCACGACGCTATTTCCCACCAAAGGGCAGTCTGCAGAGGGCTGGCAGCTCACAAAGCGGGGGCTGGCCTTGCCCTCGCCTCAGGCCTGGTGATGTGCCGTACCCGCAAGCTGTGAGGCAGCACTGCCTTTGGCCGCAGAGCTCCCCGTCCTAAGCAAGTGCAGGCCCGGAGCTCCGCAGGGCCTGGCGCGAGGCCAGCCGGCAACCCAGAAATCCAGAAACCCAGACAGATGCTGCCCGAGGACCGCTTGGAACCTACGGCACAATTTTAGGGCTGCTCCCTAAATGATTCCTCCCAACCGCAATGGGCCAAAAAGCATTGCTAGTGCTAGAGAAGAGGCCAAGACTATTCTCCAACCGAGTCTGCTAGCACAGCAGAGGGAGATCTTGTTTTTAAAGGGCCGGGGAGGGCTGGCTGCAGGTGGGCCGGGTTTGCAAACTCAACTGAACCTGGTCCCTCAAAACAAATGCTCCCTGTGCTCTCAGCCCGCAGGTGGCGGCTCTGCAGACCGGCATCTGCTGATCTGGCCTCAGGGACTGCACGCTGGGACTCCAAATGGGTCTACAAACACTTCCACTGATTGTCATTCTGTTCTCTCCACAGTTTAGCTTCGACCATTTCATAACCCATAACCTGTCTAGTGGAATAAATGACATGAGCAAATCAAAAAGGCACATTGTGCTCCGAGGGGACTCGCCAGGCGGTCGCTGGGACGGTGCAGGGCCACTCGGCTCCAGCCTTGGAGTCGCCTGCCATGAATACCACTTCTTGCCATTGGGGACAGACTGGGTGGTTTGCACGGGCTTCCTCACAGACCACAACTGACAAATATTCTCTGGCTCGCACTTCTGGAGCGGGACAAAGTCCTGTTTTTCACAGCAGGAGAACAAGGACGGGGCGCGTTCCACTATCAAACCGTGGCCCAGCAAAGTTTCCACGGGCCTTCCACAAGCGACTTCTTTTATTTTGAAACTCATTTTTCTTATGCTGAAGGGATGTGCTGTCTCCACTCCAGGAACCTCAGTTCTGGCGAGAGCCCTGGTCGGGGGCGGGGCATCTCGGGAGACACACCGTGTGGAGCAGAGTTCCCGAAGGCCAGGGTGGCCTGGCATGGTCACCTCGGCCACCAAGCACTGAGCAGCCAAAGCTTGTAAGCAGGGTGGGGGAGGGAGCCGACAGGCCAGCACCCCAGTGCTCGAGGCTCTGCCCCCTGTGCTGTGTTCGGAGAGGGGGCTGCCCCCCACCGTGTCCCCAGCAGAGCGACACCCCAGCAAGGTGACCTCCAAGGGGGCGGCAGAGCACTTCCATTGAAAATAATGGAAGTTCAACTTGGCGCACTTTGGGCCCTAAAAAGGCAAGTCTCTTTCGATCCTCGAAGATATCGTCTCAAGCCAGGAGGGCAGGGAGGGCGGGGAGGACAGAGTTTAAAAAGGAGGGTGATCCATCTCATCAAGCCAAGAGGCTGGGCTGGTAGGAAAGTCGGGGTAGCCTACACTGCTTCCTGTGGAGATGTCAGAGGTGGGTCCCCCGGCCATGGCTCTCAGCGTCTGGCTCACGCCCTGCCCTGCGTGCGCAATGATGCCCAAATTACTGTCCACTGTGTAATCCAGCCCATTGAGCAGAGGAGCGTGGGATGGCAGGGATGATATAGAGGATGGAGACTGGGGGACTCCATAGGGGCTCCCATCCCTCAAGTCCTGATAGGATTGTCCCGTCCCGTCCATGGAGAAGCTCCCATTCATTAACTGTCCTCCTGCAACGTCCCCCACGTTGCCATAAATCCTATTGGCGTGGCCAAGTTCTGAGAGAATTTGATCCTCTGTGGACAAAAGAACGGAGATTCACGGTCAGCCCCCGGGCAGGACTCCAGTGGCCCCGCTCTCTACAACCTAGGGACACGCACGGCTGGGACAGAAGCCAGGGGACCGCAGCTGCCTCACCGCCATGCAGGGGTCAGGTACCACCATGGCAGCCTGGTGCCCAGAGACCAACCCACATTGTGGGGGGGGACGAGAAACCCCTGCGGAGGCTAAATTGCCAGGACGCAGAAGGCTGCACGGTGTTGGCTGAGCAGGTGGGTCCTGTGTCGCTCCGGTGCTAAGGGGATCTGGCCACACTGGGGACTGTGAATGCCCCACGTCACAGTGGAAGCTTCGTGCCCGCAAGATTTAATCTGAAAGCTTCCAAGCAAGCACAGTGCTTGGGCGAGTTGGTTGGGAAACAAGCAGCCCTGTGTGGTGAGGGTAGCAAAGGAACACTCAGTCACCCGTACAGAGTCCTTCTGGTCTACCTAGAGGAGACATTTACTGCCCAAGAACTTGGATTCTCTGTCTAATAAGGTCTCCACTGGGGGCAGTGTTGACTTGATTGAGACAAATGGACCTTCTTGTCTCTTGGAGAATTTCCTTAAGGGCACCTAATGGGATCTTTGCCACCTGGAAGAAGTCACCTCTCCAACAGAGGTGGACAGTTTGAGTTTTAGGAAATACAGGATTCTACAATTACATCATTGGACAGACCAACGATGTGTCATCCTGGGGACCCGCCTGCACCCGACAGAAAGGAGCTACAAAGCAAGACCTGACCATCCTCTGTGTTCCCAGCATCGATTTCAGCAGCTCGGACCACATGAAGTGGCCTTCCCCACCCTGTCCACAGGCCTAGGAGGTGAGTGGAAGGCCCTTGAGCCGTCCCCAGGGCCCAGGACGGACCTCTAGGCTGAGCTACGGTCCCCGCAAGGCCTTGTGTTCCTGGCGGGCAGCCTGTCCACCCTCTGCCCCACGGGCTTTCCTCTCCCCACCGGAGCCTGGGCGCCATGTCCTGTCCAGGACCCCCAGATCAGACTTCAAGGCCCGCCCCTTCTAACAGCCTGCGCCCCACTCCACCCACGGACATGAAGAGGAGGCAGGTAGCACATGCCCTTCAGAAGGGACAGGCAGAGGAAGGCTCGGCGCCACGGTACCACAGCCATTATTTGGCCTCCTGCCTGTGCCTGTCACCCCATGGGACCTGGGCCCACTGTGGGACAATCATCTCCAAACACACCCAGAGTCATCAGTGTGTACTGGTCCCCACAGCTGCACTGTGCGGTGAGCAAGGATGTGGCTACTCCCCTTTTATAGGCGGGGAAACTGAGGCTCAAGAGAATCGGATCAGTATGCAGAGCCATAGCTGGAAACCCGACTTGGGACCCTGTGTGGTATGCTTCCCTCCCCTGCGACAGAAGGCCTTCCACATTTGCAGCTCAGGGTAGAACAGTTACAGCTATTTGCAAACAACCTAAGGACCCAAAACGTGCAGCCATCTGCAATTTTGCTGACGCGCCGATTTGAACGTAGCGCATGCTGCAAAGCCTCTGGGCAGTCGGATGGCAGGAAGTACGTGGCGGGGGTGGGAGGGGGCGGGACTTGGAAATGAGGCCTGTCCCATCTCCCCTGCACTCACAGCAGTGATTCCCCAGGGCAGGGGGCCTGGTGAGCACGTCCTCCCCACCACCAGGAGAGGAGAGAGGGGCAACTCTAGGGAATCCCGGGGTGGGGGTGGAGGGAGCCAGGGCCCCTGCAGAGGGAAGAAACGCAAGGCAAGATGGGCTGAGCGCATGGGCTGAGACCCAGCTCTGCTCACAGCTGCTCAGGCTGGTGAGGGAGCCCCAGTCAGCAGGAAAGTGGGGGGCCGTGGGGCCCACAGTGCTGGGGAACTTAGCTTCCACTCCCAGCAGCAGAGCTCTCCTGGTTTCTGAAAGGGCCACTGCCATGTCCCCCCCACCCACCGCTGCCGCCAGCCACAGGGGAAAGCCTGTGTTCGGGCGGCAGTGGTCAGGGCCTCAAGAAGGTCAGGAGTCACGGATTACTGCCTCCCAGGGGCCAGTTCTAGGACCCAGCCCCGCCCCTCCAGCCCTGCTCACCTCGGAAGCTCAGCTCACTGTCACTAACCCCACAGTCCTCCGCAGAGCTCTCCTTCTCCTGCTTGCTGCCTCCCCGGCTCCTCTTGACGCTCTTATAGAACTGTCCCCAGCGGTGCCGCCCGGCATCCTTCTTCAGGCGCTTCTCCTTGGCCCTTCTGTTCTGAAACCAGACCTGCCATACAAGCGCAAGGGGCACACTCAGGGGGGCGCCCACCACGAACCCACAGCCCCAGGGTCCCCGAGATGGGTGGCTAGAGACAGGGACTGAGGCCTCGGCAGACAGGACTCTGAGCCTCAGAAATCTCCCTCCCAGTGAATTCCCTGGGGGCGTGGCCCTGAGCCCAACTCCCCAAGAGGGTCAGTGATGCTACTGATGGTCAGTGACACGTCCTGTTTGTCACTCCCCAAGTAGAGGAGTGACAGACATCACGTAGTGGGCACAGACATCTCGCAGACTGGCCCAGCATGCCCTCCAGCCCTGCTCCTGGCCCCGGGCCCTGCAGGACTGGCGCTGGGTCCCTGGTCCCCAGATGGCAAAGGTGCGTCTCACCTGCACGACCCTCATGTCCAGACCCGTCTCTGAGGACAGCTGCTCCCGCACGTGCCGGGCGGGCTTCGGGGAGTTCTTGTAGGCGTTCTTCAAGGTCTCCAGCTGCTTCGCTGTGATGGTGGTGCGGGGCCGCTTAGCTCCGGCCTCCGAGTCATCTGCGATGAAAACCCCTTATTGGGTTCGGCCCACCCAACACTCCTGGGTCCGGTCCCCATTCCTCACATAAACTTGCCTGCTGTGTGCAGGGCAGCGGGGAGGAACGGCGGACGTCAGGGTGGAGCCTCCTCAGACCCGTGGAGCCCACTCCTGCACCACAGCCTTCCTGAGTCACCGAACCACAAGGACACCACCGTCCTCCCTCTGGCCTCCCTGTCCCCCGCCAACCCAGCCAACACAGGGGCTCTCATCAGACCGAAGGCCCAGTGCCACGCATCTCCCTGTCATGGCCAGTGCTCTGGTTGGACATCCTTGTGCGTGGTGACCAGCGCTGTGAAGGCGAGTGAGCCAGAGTGAAGCTTGTTCTGGGCCACCCCACATGCTCCTGCCTCTCCCCCCACCAGTAACCTGTGTCTCCCCAGCCCCACCCATCACACCCCTTCCTTTGCCGTGGGCTCCCCAGGCTCACAGCAGGGGTGGCCTGTGTGCGTTCACTAGCCACCTACAGAATGTGCATGAGTTATGGGTCAGAGCCCACCAGTGGCTGTAAAGTCAATTTGGTGGATTAAAAATTGTGAGGAAATGAGCCCCTGCTGGTGTGACTCGGTGGACTGAGTGCTAGGCTGAGAACCAAAGGGTCGCCGACTTGATTCCCAGTCAGGACACACGCCTGGGTTTCCGGCTGGGTCCCCAGTGGGGGGCAGTGAGAGGCGACCACTGATGTTTCTCTCCCTCCCTTACCCTCTCTAAAAATAAAGTCTTTTTAAAAAGAACTTTGAGGAAATGAGATGAATGGGACGGGACCGGGTGGGATCGATCAGGGCAACCACTGTTTCATGAAACTTCTTTAGTGTTCGCTGTGTAAACATGAGTGTTAAGTTGAAATGATGTAAAATGAGTTTCTTGCTATGGATCATAGTCAACATTTTTTGAAAAACACCGGTCAAGAGTAAAGCCAACTACTGTGTCTGCTACCTTCCTACCTTCCTCTCTTTCTTCCCTCCTTTCCATTCAAAAAACCCTCTCTTAGGAACAAGGATAATATCCAGCATTCGTTACCCACCTACCCTGCCTGGGGTTGATAAGAGCCGTGTGGCCATACAGTGCTCCCGACAACTCTGAGAGGTTTTTCTTGGCGTCAGAAGACTGGGGTTCTTGCTGAGCAAGGGATGGGGGCACGTTCGGTCTCCCCTCCAAAGCCTGGCCCACGCACATGGGGCAGGGGGACGAGGAAGCGTGTCCCCCCTTCTCCCTGGGCTGGTTTTCTCCCCAGCAGAGCTGCAGTCTTCCTCGAACCCTGGCCACCAACCCACTCACCCCCACCCCACCCAGAGCCCTGAACCCAAAGAGGAAGGATTCCAGAGCCCCTGTGGTGGGCACGCAAGGAAACCTCCAAGACACATGACTTTAAACTCCGTCTTAGGGAATCATTCCCATAAGCATAGAGGTGCCAGCACTACAGCTTTCGGTTCCAATATAAAATAGTGCCCTTTAAAATACCTATAACAGCCTTTATAGGTAAAATTTGAAATAATGAAACCGCCCCCAAAATTGAACTCATCGAGGACGTCTTCACTTTTGAAGCGAGTTGCCCTAGTAAATTAGACGGTGTGGGTGCCACAGCCAGGTTGCTGGGACACGCCCGTCCCCCCGGGTTGGTGGTGCGTGGCTGCCACGCTCTGTACACACAGGCCTTTCCTCTTGTGATTACGAGGACTCTCATGCTGTTATTTCAACATTCACTGTTATTATAATTTAAAATCTTCTTCATATCCTATAACAATGTCATCCAAGTATTCATTAAGTCGTGGTGGCCGCGCTCACGCTGAAAAATGGACCCAAAAATCAATAGCTTCGGGACGGAAGTTAAATGTGATAAAATGCTATGAGGAAGGCCATGCGAGACCAGGATGCCCTGGACTGTTAATTTAGGAGAGAGCATCGGGAGGTAGGAGGCAGAGGGCTTTGAAAATAAAACGTGGCATTAAGGCAAAGACACACTTCACCGGTTATGGATTTATGTGCTCCCAGAATACATCCCCCTCCCCTGACTTTTTACATTAATTCCTATGGGAAAATTAGCCTGAAAATACGTTAGTTCTGAATTATGCAGGGTCTCCCAGTACTTGTCCCTGGCACAAAACGCAACCTCATTACACTGAAGATGTGAAGATCCGGGGAGATGTAACAAATGAACGAAATCGCTCACACTAACGGACACACAGCAGCTATCAGACCCTTTGTGTAACACACGGAGGGAAAGGAAGCCCGAAATAGGGGGTGAATCAGCAAGGGGGGATTAAAACATCCAAAGAGAGGGCCAAATGTCCCACAGTGGACAGTGGTCCCCCGCCGCACTTAGGGTCACCGGGATTTCACAGGGTGGCCGTGACCTCCGCCTTGCTGTCAGCGGAGACTGGGGGGCCCATTGGAAATATTGAGCAACCTTCAGCTCCTTGAAAACGTAAACGTGGCCCCACCCCCACCCCCGTTTGCGTTTCTCCTCCACACAAGCCTCGTCCTCATTCAACATCCCATTCCGCACTCTGCGTTCCATCGAAGCCTCAGGAAACTGCTCTGTGTGGCAGGGGCTCTTGTCCCCCACAGGCAGCTAAGCAGCCTGGGCTCTACTGAGCACAGAGCTTGCCAAGGGACCCCGCCTAGTAGGTGACCCAGCAGAGATGACCACCCTCTCCATGGTGCCACAGAGGTGTGCCACGGCGCAAATCATCCTCACACCGTGTTGCCCTGGTCTGCCCAGCTAGGCTGTCCTTCCCTTGAGCCACCCACTGCAGTGCAGACACCAGGCCAGGGGCACTCAGGGCCTGAACGTGGCCGCTGACCCTGGGGAGCAGCCAGGGACCCTGGGCAGGCCCTGAAGCCCAAGCACCTGGTGACCTGACGGGCATCTGAGCCCATCTGCTTTGACGGTTTGGCCCTGACAAGCCGCCCTAATCTCCTGTGACATCGTAATGGACTCCAAAGCTCAAAGCAACAACGTCCAGTGAGCTTTAAGGAACCAGAGCAGATAAATGCATTACAGCAAAGAGCCCGGGAAGGGGCTAACAGAGGCCCTGGCAAGAGGAGAAAGGGACTGAAGGCCTGTTCACCCGGGGAAGGCCAAGCGGGGGGTGGTGGGAGCTGGGGGATCCCTGACTCACCCTGAGCCGCTCAGCCTCCTCACTACCACAAACGCTTTATGTTGGACTCGTTCTTTAAGCAAACACAGTTTCTCTGTGTGGTGATCCGATCTAACTGACCTATGTGGGAGGGCCCAGGAAAGCTCTGGAAGGCCACCCAGGAGACTGTCGTCACTTTCTTCTCTCCATCCAGCCCACAGCTGTCAGGAGCTGCTTTCCACAGCGACCCCCCCCCACCCACTGAGGGGATCAACTCCTTGTCCAAGGCAAACGACCTCGCTCTTCTGTGAGTTTGTGCTTCTGAGATGCCCAGGTTGGGTTTGGCCAAATGCCACATTAGGGGCCAATGGAGGGTATCCCCCGCCCAGGACACAGCTGTGAGTGAGGAACCTAAAGTGGGGGGAGGGGCACAGGAGGGGCCATCGGACTGGGCCTTCCTGAGCGGGGCTCGGAGGAATGGGGGGTCCAGGCCCAGTCTGGGCCCCGGAGAGACCCTGGGCTGCCGTGGAACGTGGCACTGGAGGGCGGGAGTAACCACCACCTGTCTGGCTGTGGAACTCGGCAGGGTCCGCCGCAGGCCATGGGCAATGACCCCAAGGTGGCAGGGAGGGTGGTGGGGGGAGTTACGTGGCTGAGCGGGGGTCTCCCCGAATGTGGACACTGGCTGAGCACCTGCTTCACACCAGGGGCATCAGGAGACACGAGGAGTTGGTGCCCCTGCATCCCCGGCCTCTACAAGGCCCTGGGCCGAGACGGGGAACAGGGCACAGTGAACTGGAGTCCACTCTAGCTATCCCAAGGGTGACTTAGGCCAGCGCTAGGGCTCTCACTGGCTGAAGACTTTGAGTGTGGGGGTGCCAAGTAACTGCGCACCCCAATGTACAAGACTAAGAACAACCCCAAGCGTCCACTGTAGACAGATCACCCTCCAGCCCCACCCCAGCCAGGCAAGAAGCCACCGAGAAAAGGACCCAAGGTCCTGGCTGCCCCGAGCCAAGTGTGGACGAGTGCGCTCTCAGTAACCACCACTCGGTCACAGTTCCCAGGAAGCGGCTAGTGCTGAGGGCTGGGGACGTTGACAGCTAACTGTCTCTGCTGAGAGGTGGCAGCAGGGGCCCGAGAGACCCAGACGAAAGGCCTCTGGGCAGAGGGCCCGGCCCCATCGAAGGTCCAGAGCAGGGACGCGCAGGGCGGCGCCGTTACCGTTCTGCTTGGCCGTCTCGTAGTCCTCCTTGCACACCAGCCGCCCGTCCTCCATGAGGTAGAACTCGTCCCCCGTGGCCAGCTGCCGGTTACAGATGATGCAGGCGAAGCAGTGCAGGTGGTAGACGAAGTCCTGCGCCTTGCGGACCACCTGGGTGGGGGGGATGCCCAGCTGGCAGGCCGTGCATTTTGTGCCGAAGCGCCTGGGGGGTGGCATGAGAGGATTAGGGCTCAGGGGGCGGCCGGCGTCCTCCCACCTTCCGAGGGCCCCTCTCCCACCCGACCACTCCAGGGGCGTCCTCGGGCTTCAACCCCTGGGCCAGCCAGCGCTTACCACCTGGTCCCTCGGCCTCTCACTGGCCTCGCTGCTTTGTGTCCAGGCTCTTTAACCACAAAATGAAGAAGCTGGGTTGGAACTGGAGTCTCCCTTCGCAAAGGCTGACATCCCAGGGCTCAAAACTGCCCGATGAACGCCCGTCGACACACCCGGGACCGAGCATCGAGCAGCTTCACCTCCACCTCCCGTTTCTCCAGCTCCGTGGAGAGGTACAGAGGGCCAGCCCACGGGGAGACTGCGTGCGCCCAGGCCACTACGCCCAGGTCACTGCGCCCAGGCCGCTGTGCCCATGGCAACCGGCAGAGCCTCTCTGCGCATGCTCCTCCCCCAGCAGCCCGCGTGGCCCGGCTCCACCCCAGCAGCCCAGAGACCTGGCACCGGGGACAGCAGAGCGGGTCCCCCCTTCTCTGTCCTGCCTCACCCTCCATCCAGCGCACACCAAAACCCCGCCAGACTGGCTTCCATCCCCTTCCCATGCACAGCCTCTGAGATGTGGGTTGAGACGGGGACTGCATTTTCTGGTCCCTGTGCCACTCAGGCCAGGAAATCTACAAACCTATTTGAAAACACCACCTCAGACACCCCCTGGTCTACACCTATGGACCAGCACCGAGGCAACAGGAAGGTACCTACAGCCACCCTGAGCTGAGGTTAGGAAGGAAAGGGCCGGGGACATCTTGGAAATATAGTCCAGTGAGTCCTTGAAGCTCCTTTCCCCATCCCGGCCACCGATACAGAGCCACACCAGCGGCCAGAGTGGCAGCAGGAATTTCGGGGCCGGCGTGGGCGACAGAGGGGCCACTCTGCTGCAGGTGAGCCTTCCCCACTTCAGGAGGGAGATGGGAGGGGCTGGGGAGGCAGGGGCAGAGTTTAAAACAGCAATCAACCTAATTATTCATGACATTTCACACAGCACAACTTTATCTTCTTCAGGATGAAAGACTTCGCCTAATGGATCTGGGGAAGGTTTGATTTTAATGGTCCTTTTAACTAATGCTTATAGGCAGCCTGATTTCCCCTGAAAGGACAGTACATATTTCATCCACATTAATACCAAATAAATTAATTATGGTCGTGGCTATCATGATGAATCCCAGATTAATGCAGAATGATGGGCGTTGTACGCAGTAATGACACCTGCTGGGGGGACTGGAGCAGGCGTGACCAGCTGTGGCTTCGGAGAGAAATGGGGGTCTCTGAGTCTGGAAGGGGGATCCCGAAAGAGCAGGAGTGGGGCCCAGGGAACTGCTCTTCTGAGACGAGAGCTGAGATCTGAGCTGGGGCACCAGGGGCTGAGGCATCCCGCTTGGAAGGACTGTGGACCCCTGAGCTCCCAGAAGAGCTCTTGGTTTTTGTGGGGATGGTGGGAGGGGTGCGGTGCATGGAGCAGGTCTGTCTACGGCAGCCAGGACAGGGCTCTCTGTAAAGCACCCCCGAGCTCTCCAAATGCAGGCATCCAGAGAGGGGCCTGGGCTTCCGGCAGATTCTCAAAGGGGCCCAACCCAGAAAAGCAGAGTTAACATTTGTGGAATCAGAAATCAGAAAATAAAGAAGCATGTGTTCAAAGGACACACGCATGAATGGCTGGTCGTGAGGCTGGAGAACAAAGTACACTCTCAGCCCTAGTCCTGCACGATCAGTCCAGGGCACACCGTCACACCTGCCGGCACACCGGTGCGAGCCAGGCTTCCTCCACCGTGGCCGCCTAAGCCCACGGTGTGTGTCAAAGAGGAAGGTGAGCAGGCACCCGCTCTACCCTGCACGAGTGTGTGTGCGTGTGTGAGTATGTGAGTGTGCGTGAGTGTGCACAAGTGTGTGAGTGTGTGTGTTTGGGGGAACAATGCAGAAGGAGGCCTGGACAGAGGGGTGGACAAACGTAGGTTCACAGTTGTGAGTACACAAAACACAGCTTATTCTTGTATTATGATTACTTATTCATTATTGTATTATTTTCCATACAGACAACTGTAAGCCCATCGCAACCCTACGCTGTGTGTGTGACTACAGCGTGTTTTCAAAGTGCCTGTGGTTTTTGCATCCCGTCCAGACCAGTTCTCAAAGCTGGTGTTTGAAATAAAACAGCGCCTTCATCACGCTCGCTATGACCCCCCACTGAAGAAACAGCCCAAAGCTGGGTGCCAACACGGCAGCAGAGGCAGCTCCAGAGAGGCACTGGGACTTTCCAAAAAGTAAGTCCCATCCTGCGGCCAAAAGGTGGGGAGGGCACAGAGACCGAAGCAGGCGGAGGTGGAACCCCCAAGGGCCTGCCCCACGGAGCAGGCCGGGCCACACTCTCTCGCCACCACCAAGCAGACAGTGGCTTTCAGTAACCAGAAACCCAGTGACACCAGCGCCCCACAGACATGAAAGATAATGGGGGTGTAAATTTAATCTGCATACCGACAGTGATTCATGCATGAGGGTGGCGAGTGCACAAGAGGAATGAAAAATAAATGGACTCTTCCACCAGCGTTTTTTAGCAATTGAAGCAATTCTCCTGATTGTGGGATTTACGGTGATGGTAAGAGGAAGTTGTTCCTTATTACCTTGCTCCCCCGGAGCACAGCAAGTGGGACACTTGGTGAGGGGCTGACTGCGTGCACTCCCTTGGCCCACGGGGTGCCCCCACCACGGCCCAGCCACCATGGCCCAGCCCCCAGACGCACCCCTACCCCACTCGCTCTCAGAGCCAGGAGAGCCAGCATCAGGTGCCGTCCACGGGGCTATGAAGACGCTGGCTCTGAGTCTCAGATCCAGAACCAGCCAGAGTCACATCCACGGCCTGGCCACCCGGCTTCTGTGACAGTGAGACAGGGTGGTTACAACTCCCTGGTCCAGAATGAGGTCTCACTGTGAACTTGGCTGCTACACCGAGAAACAATCCTCTAACCAACCTGACCAAATGTGAAGGATGCTGGAGGTGGGGGCAGAGCTGGACACTGGCCAAGGGAAAGGCTTCCTGGGGATTTCTCAGATAGTGCCCCCTGCATCCTACCCCTGAGCACCTACTGTGTGCAGGGCCCAGCCCACTCGGATGCAAACCACACTGGCCCTGCTTTTCAGCACGGCCTCTCTGGTCAGCCTGCCGGGCCAGGTGAGTGCGGAGCCCCTGGGGAAGCAGCGGGAGCTGCTCTGTGTTGCCCCTGTGCTGGACCAGCATCAGAAGCCAGGCGCGGGCGCAGTGCCTTTACCCTGGATGGGAACCTGGGTGGAAGGTCCCTGTCCCCCTCAGGTGTTGCCAGCTGCTCGGAGCCACCAAGCATGAAGCTGCCTTGAAAGCCTTCACCCCCTGGAGTGTCCCCTCACCCACCCACACCAATAGTCACACCAACAGTCACACCACATTCGCCACCTTGTGTCCTGCTGGCCAGGTCAGGAGTGCACCCCATATCACTGTGACATTTGGGGACTGCTCCTGACCCCAGGAAGGGGGTCGGGCCTGTGTCCTCGAGCTCAGCCTGAGCTCCCATCTGCCCGTCTGTCTTGTCTGTCCACCCTCCCTGCTCTTGAGAGGCCTGCTGGGACCACCCTCCAGGGCAGGGTGCCTGGGTCCTGCAGCGAGAGGGTACTGAGCAAGTGCTGCGGGCAGGACACCTTCTAGAAACAGGGGCACGTACACCCTACACCACCAATGTCTGGCCTGTGCCTGGTTCTGAGTTCTGGCCTGTGATCAGGTGCCATAGTCCAGTCACCGAAACTGGATGGAGAAAAGGCTCCTGTTCACCGAGCACCTGCTGTGTGCCACTGTAGGCATATGATCTCGCCTCACCCTCCCCCTGTCTCCCACCTTCTCTCTCTCACACTCCCCATCCTCAATCTCAGCTGGTTGCCCGGCTTCTTGTTTCCCTGGAGAAAAGAGAACTCTCAGCCACGACCTGCCACACGCGCCCACCGCCCTGTCCACCTGCCCGCCCTCCTGCCCACCCTCTGCTTCCCGCAGCAGGTCCATCCTCGCTCCTGTGCAAGGCCAGCCGCACACCTGGGCACAGAGTCCACACCCTCTCGCCGACGGAGACGATTCCTCCAGCAGCTGTCCCCTTTGCCTCTCGCCTCATTAATTTTCCCCTCTACCAGATCCTGCCCAGCAGCGTCCGGCAGGCTATTATTTCTGCCACTTAAAGTCCCTCTTCTGACCCGCCCACCTCCCTCCATCTACTCCCCTCTACGCCCCCCTACTCCCTCTGCTCCCCCCCTCTCCTGAATCCACTCTGGTGATTCGTTTTATGTGTCAAGTGGACCCTGGGCGCCCAATAATGTTTGGCCCCACATTATCCTGAGGGTGCCCGTAAGGGTGTTTCTTCTGGGCCGTCACCTTTGAATTGGTAGACTGAGTAAAGCAGGTCCCCTCCCCAGTGTGGGGGGCCCCCTCCAGTCGGCTGAAGGCCTGACAGGGACCGAGAGGAGGTCCCTTAAGCAGCAAGAGGGAGAGGCTTCTGCCTGACACAGGTGCTGGCACGTGGGTCTTCTCCTGTCTTTGGATTTGAACAGAAGCATCAGCTCTCCTCGGGTCTCCGGCCTGCTGGCTTTGAACTAGAACTTACACTCTCAGCCCTCAGGGTCTCCAGCTTGCTGACTGCAGATCTCGGGGCTTCTCAGCCTCCAGAGTCACTCGACCCTCACAGTAAATCTCTTCTCGCACACATGCACACACGCACACACGCCTCCCGGACCTTCCGGCGGCGCTGGCTTCCTGCCTCCCTTCCTTCTCAACACGACACTCACTTGGCCCCAGGACCCAGCTCTCCTGGCTCGGCTCTTCCTGCTGGCAGCTCCCCACCACTTCCCACGGGGGGCAGACCCCTTCCCCAGGGCTCCAGGCCCCTGGGGATTTCAGGTCCGCCTCCAGCCTGGCCCCCTGGCCTGACT